AAGTAGAAACCGTTTATTGAGTCCCTAATACGTTTCAAATACTGTACTTTGAGATGAGTGGTAGATTTATAAATGGAGACAAAAGTGGTTACAAATTTTTCCCTGGTCATATTGTGACTAAGTTGTGGAGTTTGCTTATTTCAAAAATATTTATTGATTGCCTGCTAAGTGTAGACTCTGTTTTGGGAACTTGGGGGATATAGCATTGAACAAGAGAGACAAAAATTGCTGCCCTTGTAGGAATTACATTATAGAGGGGAAAAGTAAGGATTCATGTTCTGCCCTGTCTTGATTCCAGAGCCTGTTTTTTTTCTTTTCAGTTTACCATGTGAAGTGATAGGCTCTGAGAGGGTGGGGTCGGGTCATCGGGACAAAGGGAGGGCTTCATCAAAGGTGAGTATTGAAGAGTCAGTAAGTATTTGTCTGGAGTCAAGGGGAAAGAAGCATTTCAGCTCATGGGAAGGAATGATTGAATAGGTGGTTTGTGTGAAATTTTGGCATCAAGACGGACAGGACCTGCATCCTGACTTTTTCCTGGTAGAAGGACCAATAAGAATACATCTTCCTGGGAGGATGACAATAAGGAATTAAAGGAAATAAGGCAGTGGGGAGAATGGTGGTGAAAGACTTTTGACTTAGATGATGGAGAGTTTTAGGTTTGAGTCACAATCCGTAGAATGTTTTTGATAGCCTTTTGTGTAGTTGCTGTCATGATATTAATATGTTTGTGTACTATAATGAAGTAGAAGAGTTTAGCCCAAAGGGGTGAGTTGACATCATCAAAGCAACACTTGGGATGGTGACTTGGACAAACAGCCTAACAGGCAGGAAGGGTTGGAAGGTGGCACGGTGTAAGGAGAGGGCCCTAAGGTTTTGATTAAAGAATCTAAAAGATGGGGGAGCCTGAGATGTGAGGACAAATCAGCAAAGTACCTTCAGATGACATCTGGGAAGGGATGAGTGGAAATGAAGTTTTTACTTGGAAGATTGATAGTATCATCCCATTGTCTTCAGGAAGCAAGAGATAGAGATAATGTGGTGGTAAGTGGGCAGCTCTGTTTAAAGTGAATTATTGATGATGTGTACAGTTGAAAATACTTTTTCCCTTACATAGGCACAAACCAAAGGAACACTGTGCGTGAACACAGTGGATGTCGATAACTGTGCTCATACCGCTGGTATGAAGAGAAATGTATGATCATCCCAGCTCCCCCAACTAAGCATAGCCTGGTACTCTTCCTGGGTTCTTGGGTACTGTGCTACAGGAAGAAAGAGATGAAGAGATGAGTAAAGACTTTATCTTTCTTTTTTTCAACTATCCTCAGTGATCTTCAGCTTCCCTCGACGTGCAATTCATTGTGCACAACTGTATACATTTCTGTAATTGGATTATTTCATCTTGCCTGTAGCCCATGTAACCTTATCTTCCATGCCTATTGCCCTACATCCTTAGGGTTGTAGCTCCTCAAGTCATTCATTTTACACTTGTTTGTTTTGTGCCTGCTGTGTGTCCTTACATTCACATTGCTCAGTAAACTAACTTTACGTACGTATGTACGTATTTATGACAGGATCGCACACTGTTGCCTGGGCTAGAATGCAGTGGTATCATCATAGCTCACTGAAACCTCAAACTCCTGGGCTCCAGCGATCCTCCTGCCTCAGCCTCTGGGGTGGTTGGGACTATAGGCATTTGCTACCATATCCAGTTAATTTTTTTTTTTTGAGACATAGTCTCACTCTGTTGCCCTGGCTAGAGTGAGTGCTCTGGCGTTAGCCTAGCTCACAGCAACCTCAAACTCCTGGGCTCAGGTGATCCTACTGCCTCAGCCTCCCGAGTAGCTGGGACTACAGGCATGCGCCACCATGTCCAGCTAATTTTTTCTATATATTTTTAGTTGTCCATATAATTTCTTTCTATTTTTAGTAGAGATGGGGTCTCGCTCTTGCTCAGGCTGGTCTTGAGCTCCTGAGCTCAAACAATCCGCTTGCCTCGGCCTCCCAGAGTGCTAGGATTACAGGTGTGTGCCACTGCGCCTGGCCCCCCAAGTCTTTTTGTGTCTTGATAGCTCATTTCTTCTTGTTGATGAATAATATTCCACTGTATGGATGCACCACAGTTTTTTCATCCATTCACCTACTGAAGGATGTCTTGATTGTTTTCAGGCTTTGATAATTATGAATAAAGCTGCTGTAAATATTTGTGTATAGGTTTTTGTTGGAACATAAGTTTTCAACTCATTTGGGTATAAACCAAGGAATGTGATTGCTGGATTGTACAGTAAGAGTATGTTTAGTTTTGTAAGAAACTGCCAAACTGTTTTCCAAAGTGTTTGTACTATTTTGCATTCCCATCAGCAATGAATGAGAGTTCTTGTTGCTCCATGTTGTTACCGTTATTTGGTATTATCAATGTTTCGTATTTTTGCCATTTTAATAGATGTGTAACAGTATCTCATTGTTGTGTTTCCTACCCATTTTTTTTTTTTAAAGAGACAGAGTCTTGCTCTGTTGCCCAGGGTGGAGTGCAATGACATCATCATAGCTCACTGCAAGGAAGATTGCTTGAGCCCCAGTAGTTTGAGGTTGCAGTGAGCTATGATGACGCCACTGCACTCTACCTGGGGTGACAGAGCAAGGCTCTGTCTCAAAAAATTTTTTTTCATTTATCAAATAACCAGAAAACTCCAGAAATTTGAGAGATGAATGAATGTAGTCTTTTGCAGATAAATACTAAAAATATCCCAGCCCATAATGTTTAAACTAAGATTAACATTTTTCATTTCTTTTTCAATAACAAAAAACATCTTGCTGACTGGGTAGGTGGTAAGCTAATTGCCTTCAACATTTGGCTGTTTCAGTTAGTGGGGGGGCAATTTTCTCTTCCTTTTGTGTTGCCTTATATGCCTTTGGATAATCTTTAGCAAAGTGCTCTGGTCAGATAAGGCACCTAAATAATTGTATGTTTCTGATAGAACCTACAAGCAGGTGCTTAAGGCTCATGTAAGTGTTACCTGTACTTTTCGATTTCTCCTTTACGTTTTCCCCCTTCTCACTTTAACCTATTTTGTTTGTATTTTGCTTTTTTTAAGGTTGCAGTTGTTCTGATGGATACCCAGGGAGCATTTGACAGCCAGTCAACTGTGAAAGACTGTGCTACCATCTTTGCTCTAAGCACCATGACTAGTTCTGTTCAGGTAAAAACCACTTGACTTAGAAAAATGTTTGCAGAGGAAATAAGATAAAGGGAGAATATCTAGTTTAAATTATTGTTCTGTTAACAGAATCCCTTTGTTGATACGTAAATGCTCCAAGAAAAGCCTAAAAAATGGAAATTGAAATCACATCAGTTACATCATATAGAAAATTTATTTGGTAAGAACTTAGGAAAACGATATTTTAAACAGAAGAGGAAGAATTTCGTGATTTCAACCTTATATGTATAGTTTTCGAAAAGACACATAATATTACTGTTTGAACAGGAGCTTCATATTCTTATATGTGAACTTTTAATTGTACAGAGCTTCTGCCATGCTTTACGCTTATTTGGGATTTGTCTGAAGTAAGCCAGAATAGTATCAATCTGGATTTTTGTTTTCTAGATTTATAATTTGTCCCAGAACATTCAGGAAGATGATCTTCAACAGCTGCAGGTATGTATTTCTCATAAAAGTTTTAATATCATAATATATTATTTAAAAGTTTTAAGATTAAGAAAAATTTTAGAACTGAGTAGTTTTTAGCAAAAGATTGAAATATGCAGGAAGGTTTTTGGTTTATATTATATATCTGTTGAAGTGGAGCAGGGGTGGTCAGGAAGGCCTTACTGATTTGAGCAGAGAATGGAAGAGAGTGAGTGAGTGAGTCCTTCAGATACATCTGGGGGGGGAAGGGATGGAAATGTTATAGGCGATGTAGCAGCAAGAAAGACCCTGAGGTGGAATGTGGTTGGCAGGAGTAAGGAATGGCAGGAAGGCCCGTGCTGGGATTGGAGGGTGTGACAGGAGGGGGCTAAGCGATGAGGTCAGAGAGGCAGTGAGGTGCTGGTCATGCCAGGGCTTTTCCTCTGAGTGAGTGGGAGCTCTTGGTGGGTTTTCAGCACAGGAGTGGTGTTATCTGACATTGTAAAGGGATCACTCTGGCAGCCATGTTTAGAATAGATTTTTAGAGGGCAAGAATGCATTCAGTGGGACTGGTCATGGAGCTATTAAAATAATCCAGGTGAGGTTAAATAAATTAATATTTGTTAAATGCATAGAAGAACTATGTGCCTGGAAAATAGTATGTGTTTAAAACTGCTAGCCATTGTTATTATTACCATTTTCCATAGCAGTAGTTCTTATCTGTTTTTCCGATAAAACACTCTTCAGTGGATATTCCAGGGTTGGATGCAGTTCCTGACTTGCTGTTCTAATTCTGCTTCTCCCACTGACATTCAAAAAAACATACCAGAATGTGAGTGAGTGACTAGGTCATTATTATAGAGATTACTTTGAATTAGTTCTATTTTATATTCCTTTAAAAAAACAAAGAATTGATAACAACAGTGAAAAGGATAAAAATAAAGAACAAATCATTCCTAAACTTTGGCCCTTAATATTACTAATAGCAGTTGCTTATATTTCTTTATTGGTGGTTCTATACCAGTGGCATGACTCAGTGGTTGAGAGTTGTTACTCTGTAAAACCTTTTCATCAAAAAATGACTTTGTCAGGCTGGGCACGGTGGCTCACGCCTGTAATCCTAGCACTCTGGGAGGCCGAGGCGGGTGGATCGCTCAAGGTCAGGAGTTCGAGACCAACCTGAGCAAGAGTGAGACCCCGTCTCTACTAAAAAATAGAAATTATCTGGACAACTAAAAATACATACATATAGATAAAATTAGCCAGGCATGGTGGCGCATGCCTGTAGTCCCAGCTACTCGGGAGGCTGAGGCAGAAGGATTGCTTGAGCCCAGGAGTTTGAGGTTGCTGTGAGCTAGGCTGACGCCACGGCACTCACTCTAGCCCGGGCAACAAAGCGAGACTCTGTCTCAAACAAAAACAAACAAAAAAAATGACTTTGTCACCGTTTCACCTGAAATTTATTCCTTTCTAAACTCTTTCCTTTCACACATTTCTTGAATTCCTAAGTCGTACAAGGTAGAAGACCAAATGCCATAGATACACATAAGGTCACATTCCCTGGTATCAGGTTTGAGAACTTTAACATGTATTTTGTGGGACACAATTCAACCCATAAGAGGTATAATGCAGTTATATAATTCTTTTTTGATACCATTCTCAAGAACTCTACCATTCTCTGGTTCCTCAAACCCAGGATATGTTTAAGCATGTCTTTCCCATGATCATTTTAACATCAACCTTTCCCAATTCTTTTTGTCCCATTTGTCCTGTATAGTCCTCTGTCTTCTATGATGATTTTGTTACTTTATGTATGGATGGCCTTATAACAGCTTTCCAGCTGACTTTCCTGTTTCCAGTCTCCTGCCTAAGAATTACGCTACACGCTGCTGAATCACCTTTGTAAATGGTATTGGGATCCTGCTACTCACTTTCTCAGACATCTGTTTTTCAGGGTATTGCGTTAAAGCCAAGCCTTGGTTTATTCTTCAGCGCAGTCCGTTTACATGGCTGTTGTTTCCTTTGCATTATCAATGATGATTTTTCATTTCATTCTAGCTGAAGCACTCTTCCCTAGTAAAAGAAATGTTCATAGTTCCAACAGAATTCAACTTGCTTAATTCTTGTTACTTTTGAAATAAGCTCTTCATTTTTTGCTAGTATCTTTCTTACTTCCCTTTAGGCCGTATTATTTCCTGTATTTGACTTCAATTCAAAAAAATCACATTTTCTTTTAGACTTTCCTAAACTAGTGCTTTGAACTGTACTACTTTGTATTTTTGAGTCCCATTAATGGGATGTAGTTTTAAGTGTTTGGGAACAGTTATAAAGGTAATACATTTTAAAGTTTGGAGATTATTCCCAGTGAAAATGCATTGTTGATTTTTCTCTGTAGTAAATAGTCTAGTTAAAATACTGTTCGTGGTTTATGCAACAGTTAACACACTTGGTGACAGAAGGATTTAGTAGGTGAGGTAGAAGCAGATGTTATGGATAACTTTTTAAATTTCTTTATTGAGAGGGAATTCTGGAAGGTCTGTGTTTAGAAGGGAAATAGAGGGTCTTTGGAATGGAAGTGTTGACGAGGTCAAAGAATAGTAATAATACAGTAATAATAGGAAGAGTTTAGTAATTCAAAAAAGGTCAGGGAGACCAGGTGTGGTGGCTCACACCTGAAATCCCAACACTTTGGGAGGCTGAGGTGGGAGGATCACTGGAGCCTAGGAGTTTGAGGTTGCAGTGAGCTATGATGAGGCCACTGTACTGTAGCATGGGTGACAGAGTGGGACTCTGTCTCCAAAAAAAAGAAAAGAAAAAGAATAAAAGATGAATAGAAGTGACAAAGGGAAGCAAAGAAGTCACCAACCCTACCTTTTGATCCTGAAACACGTGGAGTGTGAGAATAATAGTCACTATTTGAAATGTCTATGGGGAAGATTGTGCCCTCAGTTTTTAGTTAAGGAGGTACAAGTAACTGCAAGTTTAGGGGAGTGTGTCCATTGTGGACCTGAAGTTGCAGATGATACAGTAGGGGTGTGTGGCGGGGAGTGAGGGAAGGGAGATTCAGAGGATTATGTAGATGATAGTGCCAGTGCCATGGACTTTGAAGCTGAAGTGAGGGGATGTGGCACATACCTTTAGGGCATTGCCTGGTGAAAATAGGGATGATAGGCGTGTTGGATTTACTCACTGGAGATTTACTTACTTTTAGCCACTGGACTTAATGGCCAGAGGACGTATCTCACTTGACAAGGCTGATGGTAGACTAAGTAACTGCATAAATATAAATGTTAAAAAGGAGAAGATAATATGCTCATGTGCCTGGAAATCCACGAATCAAGTGAAAATGATGTAGAGCTTAAAAAATAATTAGGATACCCATAAAAATAAATAAATAAAAAGTAAAATAAATAAAAATAATAAAAAATAAAAATATAATAAATAAATCAGTAAGCTTTCTTTTCTATTATCAATAACCAGTTTAAAAATGTAATGGAAAATGTTCGCTATAGCAACAAAATATTAAAAACAGAAAGACCTAACAAGATCTCTGTGAAGCACTTCAGAATTGTATGAGACATATAAAAGATTTAACCACATGTAGAAATATATCTTGTTTCTTATATAGGGGATGGTAATAGCTAACAAATATTAACTGCTTACTCTGTACTAGATACTCTGCTGTATATTATAAACATTATCTCCTTTGGGACTGATTATTACAAAGTTTTCAATTCTTCCCCACTAAACAAAATTATAAAGGCATTATTTTGGGAACCTGACAGAATTGTTTCCAAAAACAAAACAAAAAACAATAAAACATTTATTAAGTGCTAAGGAAGAGAAATCTCAGGTATTATAGGGCCCAGCCTGGGGGTTTGGAAAGTTTACCTGATGGAGTTATTATTTTTACTCTGTATGCTTTTTATGAAATTAGAAGTGATATTGTCTTTGTTTTTTTTTTTTTTTTTTGAGACAGTCTCACTCTCTTGCCTGGGCTAGAGTGCTGTGGCGTCAGCCTGGTGCACAGCAACCTCAAACTCTTGGGCTCAAGCGATCTTCCTGCCTCAGCCTCCCAGGTAGCTGGGACTACAGGCTTGCGCCACCATGCCTGGCTAATTTTTTCTATTTTTAGTTGTTTGGCCAATTTCTTTCTATTTTTTAGTAGAGATGGGGTCTCGCTCTTGCTCAGGCTGGTCTTGAACTCCTGAGCTCAAACGATCCACCCGCCTCGGCCT